CTCCCGCTCCCCCTCCCGCTCACCCTCCAGGCTCCCTCGGTTCCTGGGTAATACCAGGGGCTCTCTGGCCCCTGGGCCTGGGCGCACGCTGCCCCCTCCACCTGGAGCCCCCTTCCCTGTGCTCACCCAGGCCCTCTGAGTCACTGACCCGCCCTCGGGTCTCCCCTTACTTGCCGCCTGTCCAGGAGGCCCTGGCCACAGTCCCGTTAGCAATGTCCTGCCCTGCTCGGGGGCCCTGGGGGCCCTGAGTTTCTAGCAGGTGTCCCTGGAATACAAGCCTCACCCCCCGTTCTTGTCCTTTCTGCCCCTCCCCTACTTCATGAAGACAGCTGAGTTGGGGACACATTCACGCCAGCGTGCACGCACACACACGCACACACGTGCATGCACACGCTCATTTCCAGAAGAGACAGGTCGGGAGGGGCCTGGGCCACTAGCTCATTCAGTCGACGAGGAAGGAGGCTGTGGGCACAGGGAGGCCACAGGCAGGAGGGGACCATGTACAGCAGCTGGAGGGGGCGCGTGGGGGCCTCACTCCTCGAAGGGCCAGAGCCACCGGGTGCCCTGGCAGAGCCAGCGCGGGCACCTCAGGGAAGCTGCAGCTGCTATAGAGTCGTGAGCGCCCGTCCCTGGAGGCACAGGTGCCGGAAGAGGGACTGGGCCTTTGCACAGGGGCTGGTGTGCCCCTTTAAGGGGGTTCCCTTCGGTTCTCAAGATGTAGGCATGGCCCAAGGTCACAGGCAAGGCCCGAGGGGGCCGTCCCCCACCCGGGCCATTCCCCCTCTTGGGGCCAATCATTAATGGTCACCGCTTGAGTGGCTGCTCCCACTTGAGTGCCCCCGGCTGCCTGCCAGCTCATGGCCCGGCTCCCGTCTCGTGCCCAGAGCCCCCGCATGCCTCTGACGAGGACTGGCCTCGCTCCTCGGCCCACTCCCTGCTCGTGATGGAGGAGGCCAGGGGAGGCCTCGCCTGAGCAGAGAGCCCCCCAGCCCGGGCAGAGTGCAGGGCGGGCTCGGGGCAGGTGCTGGGCTGACCTGGGGCTGAGAGCGGGAGGAGGGCATGAGGAGGTGACTATGGCCTGGCTGTGGACAGGGAGGTCAGGCAGGGGAAGTCAGCAGAGCGGAGGGGAAGGTGGCCCAGGAGGAGGGAAGGGGCTGGTGTACTGGGGAGAGGAGGGAGGCAGGAGTGACACAGGCAGGCTACTCAGTCACCAAGCTGAGGAGCTGACTGTGTCCTGGGCAATAGGGAGCCACTGCAGGTTGTGGAGGAAGGGAGTCACATGGCACGGCTGGGGCTGGGTGGGAGGCAGCTGCCCGGGGAGGGCCAGAGAGGCAGGCCCCGCGGTGGCCAGGGGGCAGGGGGCAGAGGTGGACAGGAGGGGGTCCATGAGGCTGGGCGTGGGGGGCATAAGCAGCAGGAGGCTGAGCGTGCAGCCAGAGGCCCATGGTCAGCTTGCTGCACCGTCCACAGGGTGCGCCATGGGGTGGCCCCGGGGAGCGCAGACTGGAGCGGGGCCCAGAAGGAGCGGAGGCACAGAGGAAGCCAGCGAGGGGGCCCAGCCAAGGAAGAGGGGTCACTCAGCCACACAGAGGTCACCACGGCCTGGCCTCGAAGGGCGGGAAAGAGGAGGTGAGGAATGGGGACGGGGTGGGAGCTCGGCCAAAGGTTTCCCTCTGGAAGGCTCACCGAAGGGGGTCTCTGAGGCGGGCTCCCCAGAAGCAGAGCCCGAGACGCCGGACGCTGCGGGAGCTCAGGGTGTGAAGACACCGAGCAGCCCCCCTGGAGGCAGGGGGCAACCCTATTCCCCCCGCCCTGCTTCAGCCCGTCCTTGGCTGTGGCTGCCCCTCCTGCGGCCAGAGCTGCGGACCCTCCCAGACCCCCGTGGGCCGAGGCCTGGGCTCTTAGAAGGACCAGGGAGCTGAGAGCCACGTCCTCACAGCAGGTGGCCTGGGTGGGGACAGGTCACTGGTGCGGCCAACGCCACTCCGGCCACTTAGGCGGCCATAGGCGGCCGGCGTTTACTGAGGCACCGAATGTGAATCCCCCGCCTGGGCCCGGCCCCAACCAAGAACAGGCTCAGTGGGGCCACGTCTCTCTCACCCCATCTGGTGACCTCAGCCCTCGGCCCGGCCACGGGACCACGCCCACTGCCCGCCTGCACAGCGAGGCACCGAGGGGCTCCAGAAAGGACGCGGGATCAGAACCCAGCTCCGCGAGGCAAACCT